TGATATAGATATATTTGAAGAAAATAATAAATCAATATCCGTTAATGTTTATGAAATTGATGATAATGAACAAATTGTTATTAGTAGAAAATTGAAAAATAAAGATGCGTCTTTTCACTTTGATTTGTTAAGAGTTGATGATGAGGATTTCAGTCATTATACCTATATAAAAAGTTTGAGCAGACTTATTAATAATCAAAAAAGTAATCATCATGGTAAGTTCTATTTTTGTAAATATTGTAATCATGGATTTGGAAATGAAGAATTATTAAATAAACATTATGATAGGGGATGTATGGAAGTTGACGGACAGCAGATAGTAATGCCTAAGCCTTATGAGAAAGTTAGTTTTAAGCATCACTTCAAAAAGTTAAGATGTCCTTTTGTTGTATATGCTGATTTTGAGTGTTTGACAGAGGAACTGAAAAAACCTGATGAAGATGAAGATAAAAACACTTTTTCTTATCAAGAGCATAAACCATGTGGTTTTATGCTTAATATGGTTAATGCTGTTGATAATACAAATTATGAATTTATGTATCGTGGTAAAGATGCTGTTGATGTGTTTTGTCAAAAACTTAATGAGATTAGGGCAGAAGTAAAGGAGAAGATGGGAGAAAACGAAAAAATAGACATGACCGATGAAGACAAAGAAGATTTTAAACATGCTAAAAACTGCTTTATTTGTGGGGATAAGTTTAGAGTGAACTACAAGAATGCCAAGGAAGCAGAGAAATATAGAAAAGTTAGAGACCATTGTCATTTTACAGGTAAGTATAGAGGTTGTGCTCATAATGTTTGCAATCTTAATTTTTGTAATAGATATTTTAAAATTCCTGTATTCTTCCATAACATGAAAAATTATGACGGTCATTTAATTATTCAAAATGCTGATAAATTAAGTAACAACAGTAAAATAGGTGTCATCGCTCAGAACAGTGAAAAATTTATTAATATCAGTTTTGAAAGTTTGAGTGTTAAAGACACTTTTGGGTTTTTAACTGCTTCATTAGATAAGTTAGTTTCAATGAGTAAGTATGATAATACAGATGAAGAAGATAAAAGTAAATGGTTATTGCGTGAAAACTGGAAAGATAATTTTAGGTTCAGTAGTAAAAATGATGTGATTAAGAGTGAGAAATGTCTAGATTTGCTGACTGATAAAGGTGTTTATCCTTATGACTACATGAATTCATTTGATAAATTTGATGATGAGCAATTACCGAGTAAGGATGATTTTTATAGTCAGTTGAGTGAAGAAGGTATAAGTGTTAACGACTATGAAAGGGCAAAAATTATATGGAAGCATTTCGACATTAAGAATATGGGTGAATACCATGATTTATATTTGAAAACTGATGTGTTATTATTGACTGATATTTTCGAAACTTTTAGAGATGTGTGTATGAAATATTATGGATTGGACCCTGCTTATTATTATACATTGCCTAACTTTGCTTTTGATGCTATGCTTAAAATGACTGGTGTAGAGATTGATTTAATATATGACCGAGAAATGTATGAAATGATAGAAGCGGGACTTAGAGGAGGGATGTGTATGGTTTCTACTAAAAAAGTTGAAGCAAATAATAAATACATGGGAGAAGATTATGATAACAAGAAAGAAAGTAGGTATATTAACTATTTAGACGCTAATAATTTGTATGGGTTAAGCATGATACAAAAACTGCCATATAAAAATCTAAAATGGGATGATACATTAAAAGAAGAAGACATAATTAATTATAAGAATAATAATATTGGATATATTCTAGAAGTGGATTTAGAATATCCTAAAGAATTACACGATTTACACAATGACTATCCAATGGCACCTGAGGTTATGAATGTTAAAGCCAACATGCTGTCAGATAAACAAATTGAAATTTGTGAATTTTTAAATCATAAAAAACCTACGGATGAGAAAACAAATAAATTAGTATTGAATTTAAATGATAAAGAAAAATATGTAATCCATATAAGAACCTTACAATTTTATTTGAAGCAGGGGTTAAAACTTAAGAAAATTCATAGAGCAATTAAACTTGAACAAAAAGAAGTTTTAATACCTTACATTGAGTTTTACACTGAGAAGAGGAAGAATGCTAGAAATGATTTTGAGAAAGATGTATATACATTGATGAACAATGCCATATTTGGAAAAACAATGGAGGATAAGCGAAAACATTTAGACTTTGAAGTTGTGAGTGATGAAACTAGATATATGAAGTGTGTAAGTAATCCTAACTTCAAACATAGTCATATCATTAATGAGAATTTGGTTGGAGTTGAAAAGCAAAAAACAAAGTTGAAACTAGACAAACCTATATTTATTGGGATGAGTATTTTAGATTTGAGTAAGCAACACATGTATAAATTTTATTATGACTTTATGAAACCTAAATATGGAGATAATATTAAAATTGTATATACTGATACTGATAGTTTTGTATTTCATACTAAAACCGTTGACATTTATGAAGACCTGAATACAATTAAAAAAGAAATAGATTTTTCAGATTATCCTAAGGAACATAAATGTTATGATGAGAATAACAAGAAAGTATTAGGGAAATTTAAGGATGAGTTAAAAAGTAAAATAATACCAGGGTTTATAGCCCTTCGTCCTAAATGCTACGCTTACTCAGTTTATGGTGATGAAAAAGAATATAAGAAATGTAAGGGCATAGCAAAAGGCACAGTAAGACGTCAAATGAAATATGAAGAGTTTGAGACGGTTTTAAAAACTAATGAGGTTATACATAAGTCATTTAATAGTATTAGAAGTAAAAACCACATAATTTTTAGTATAACAACTAAAAAAATTGCTCTTAGTAGTTATGAAAACAAAAAATATTGGATAAATAATATAAACTCGCTTGCTTACGGCCATTATAAAATAAATTCTTTGAAAACGACTTAAAGAAATATTGACTTAATATATTAAGATAGAAATGAGTGATACAGAAAGTGAATATGGTGAATATAGTGATGTAGAAAGTGTGTATAGTGAATTTAGTGATACTGTCCATGAAGATATTGATGTTAAAAATATATTGAAACAAAAGTTTATGAATTACAAATGTAAAGACTGTGAGATGCTAAAGTTAACAATTCAACAGGGTTTTATAGATGGTGTTAGTAATGATATTTGTCAATATATGATATGCACTAATTGTAATAGAATTATAAACAAAATTGATTATATGAATAACGCAGATTTTGATACTAAAAATGCTGAAACTCTTGATGATGATTTAGAAATATTTGTGTTTATTGAAATGAATAAGTTCTTTACTGAAAAAGAATTTGATAATGTATTAGATAACGGATATGTGGATGGTTTTATTTATAAGTATTATAGCCTGGTAAAAAGATTATACAATATGTCTTTTAGCATTAAACGTTTAAAATACGAAGCCTTGAATGAAAATGGCTATGATTTTTTAAATGAGTTTATAGATTATAAGTATAAATCTCTTGAACTTAGATATACGGCAAGACTTGCAATTAGTGTAATGAAGGCATTTGTAAAAGAAATAGGAAATAATATTTATAATCGAAAAACAGCTGATAAAATAGTGAAACGAATTGAAAGAGAATTTTAAAATTAATTAGAATAAAGTTGAACTCATACTATGATTATCACATGTAAAATATTACATGTTATAATTGTAATATATTTATGGTTTGTAAAGATTGAAATATTTTATTTTCGTGTTTTTGAGTATGTCCTAAAACTGTATAAAGACTTAGAACTATACATTAATAAGAATAATGGAAAACCAAAGTGAAAGGCAGTGCTCCAAGTGTTGCAAAATGTTAGGAGTTGAAGAGTTTGAAGGTGAAAACAAAAACTGTAATAGGTGTTTAGAACACAGAAGAAAATGTTATGAAAAGCATAAGGAAGAATATAGGGCGGAAGCGAATAGAAGGTGGAAGGAAGATGAAGAGTATAGAGGAAAGAAAATGGAAAGGAATAAACAGCGGAACAATAAAATGTATCTTTGTGGTGAGTGTGATTTGTCTGTGCATTTGAGAAATAAAGCAAGGCACGAGAAAACAAGTAAGCATCAAAGAAATTTAGTTTTGAAGAGTGAATAATTAAATGTGAAAGGTGGAACTATTAGGTGAAATGTGTTTTAGTCATATTTTTAAGTCTGAGTGAAAAAGTCGCGAACAATGAATAAGGTAAAAAGAAAAAATGAAGAATAACTGGAGTTTCTGAGAATTGGAAAAAGACTTAAAATATAAAATGACTAAGGGTAAACAAATAGTAAAATGAAATAGGTTAAGTAGTGAAAAAATAATGAACAAGGTGTGCATCTTTCTAGGAATTACTTAGAATGAATAAGGTTGTGATTTATTAACCTTATCTATTATTTGATACATGGTTTTTCAATGTGTTTTTTCATTGCTTGTTAGAAAAAATACAGAAATGATTTTCAGTTCCTTCAAATCCCATTTCTGTATTTTTTTTGGGGGGGGGGGGGGTGAGAAGCAAGTCCACAGGACTGAAAAGCTTGCGGAAGTGTCAAAAAGGGAGACAAGCTTGGTGCAGTTCCAAAGATGGCCTCGACATGGGTGTGAACTCGTGAACCCGCGTTTCCAAAATCAGGAGCTGTGAAGGTTCAAAAGCCAACTGCTTTGACCGCGGAATCAATCGGATTCATTGGGGGTGCTAGAGGGGGGGGGGTGGTTTCCCATTTATCCCCAAGAACCAGGGCTTCAAATCCAAATCCAGGTCCCAGCAATCCAACTGGTTACCTGACGGTCAGTACACGTCCAAGAACATCGAGATGGGCAACCCCTCTCGACCGCCGAACATGTTAGTGGAAAAGCACCCGATTCCTTTGAGTTCAAGGGAAACCAACAGCAGCAAACCAAAGAAAACCGATTCGTTTGGCAGAGAAGCACCCGTGAACCGCCCTGTGGACTGAAGTTTCCTCCAGTTGCCCTTTCAAACGGCGAACTGCTTCCAGAGGAAAGCGGACCAGGCCCTACATCCCATCCAGCTGGTCAGCGGAGTCGGCGCCACGGCCCCACGGCCCCACTTGAGACCTGAAAATTGATCAGTGGATCTTTGGGTTCTTCGGTTAGGTAGTTTCAATAGGCCAAGCGGTCATTTCCTTTCGACCCATTCTCCTATTTTGAGAAACACCGAAGTCACGGCCCTGACACCCTCAGGTTGGCATGGCAAGCCCATGGAGGCAAACTTGCCAAATCAACCCCCTCCCCGGCAAAAGTGGGGAAAAACATCCACAACCCGAAGGTCTGCCAAGCTCCTGCCAGCCAAAACCAAAAGCCAACCCCAGGCATCTCCGCTTTCCCCGACATCTCCGGGCCCCCAGCGCTGGCACAGCATCTTCCAGGTGCAAACCGAGCTCCACATCATGCCCCAGGCCGGCCACTCCTGGCCCACGTCCTGTCGCTAAAAAACACTCGGACTCGAGAAAAAACCAGCTGCAAACAAAAACGCGGAAACCTCCACGGAAAACCTCTCCCCCTGAAAAATGAGAGGAACAAAAACGCCTCTCTGGAGAAAAAATGAGAGTATTTCATCGGACAAGCCTCTCCCCAGAAAGAAACCGGAGGTCACCTCTCCCCCAGGAAAAAAACAAACTTTGGTCACCTCCAGTCGCCTCTGGAGCCCGCCTCATGGGTGTGAAGGATCTCCGGCAGAGTCTGAATGCCCCGCAGCAGCTCGCCTGCGGAAAAGGGAGCGCCCCCTGAAACCCGAGCTGAAGATTTTGGGGCGGAAGGTGGGCGCCCGAATTGTGGTTGTCCTCTTGGTCTCCCTTAAAACCAGCCTTGGTACCCTCAAACACACACACATACATACATACATACATACATACTTTACATTACATTACATTACATTACATTACATTACATTACATTACATTGCATTACATTACATTACATTACATTACATTACATTACATTACATTACATTACATTACATTACATTACATTACATTACATTACATTACATTACATTACATTACATTACATTACATTACATTACATTACATTACATTACATTACATTACATTACATACATTACATTACATTACATTACATTACATTACATTACATTACATTACATTACATTACATTACATTACATTACATTACATTACATACATACATACATACATTACATTACATTACATTACATTACATACATACATTACATTACATTGCATTACATTACATTACATACATACATACTTTACATTACATTACATTACATTACATTACATTACATTACATTACATTACATTACATTACATTACATTACATTACATTACATTACATTACATTACATTACATTACATTACATTACATTACATTACATACATACATACATACATACATACATACATACATACATACATACATACATACATACATACATACATACATACA